GGCTAATTCCTAAAGTAACAACTCACCTGCAGAACTACCTTTCACATGCAGACCAACCAGCCCTGAGCCCATACCCTCAGCCACCTTCTATATCTAACTCACATACCAAACCAGTATTTCCCCTGCCCTAAATCAACCCGGGGCCAAGTATCAGACAACTCAAGACCACCCCTTAGCCAAGAGCCCACCAACATTATTCAGACTATCCAGTCCTAAGCTGTTTCTGCCTTTTCCCACAGAAAACACAGTAAAGGCTCTGGACCGTGCTCTCTCCTCACTCGTGATGCCTTTTGACCAAACCTGGTGCTTCCGCACGTGGCCCAGCATGGTGTGGTATGCCCCTGCTCTTGGAAAATGTGAGTAATCAATTCTTCTTTCAGTGGCATTACCTCTCTGTGTTATCACTCAGTCACCTCCATAAATTAATATTCTAGGGGTCTGTTTTAACACGTGAGACCACAGTCTGGAGGCTTGGAATGCTCATTGGTTCAGGGTTGGCCATTATTTCCAGGTCTTTGCCAAGGACAGAGCTAAGAAATACATTCTGAATTCATCAGGATAGTTCCCATTCAAAATCGGAACCATAGGGGTTTTACTAGACCTCTGCTGTCCTACACTTTCCTCCGTTACTCTGCGAGTGGAGAATTACAGTGTCATGTGTTGTATTGCTTTATCAAACCACAGCACACACACGACAATCTCAGAATAACAATTCTGCCTGCGAAAATAGGAATACATAGCTTAATACTTTGATTTTGGCACTTTTCTGTCCTCAGGGTATATCCAACTAGGGATGTACACTGAATTTACCGGTTTACAGCCACTTAGTAGAGTTCCTTCTTTGGGTAGTCATCCTCAAAATGGATTTATTTTATTTTTTACTTTTGAAGATGACTTTAACATTTTTGAACGTTATTTTACAATTATGTAAATTATTTACATGGCTCTAAAGTCAAATTTGCAAATGAAGTTATGGGCTGAGACACCTGGCTTTTCTCCCTGTCTTCCTCCTCCCCTGCGACTCTGTGCCCTCTGACCCCATAGGTAGCCATTATTTAATGTTATTGGTTATTCTTCCATTATTTGGTTTTTAAATACAAGTGTATGTATTTAATATTTTATATATTGAATATGATTGCACACTCTTTACACCTTTCTCTATATTGCTTTTCTCACTTCACGCTACACGCTGGGGGTCACTCCGCAGGAGCATTTGGAGATCTTTATTTCTCTCATGTAGAAAACTGCCAACTGTGATTGAGTGCTTGGTTTACCATACACCAGGCACCGTGCTAAGTGGCTTGCACAGATTATCCCATGTAATCCTCAGAACAACATAGTGAGGTTGGCACTATTACAATCACCATTTTATGAACAAGCAATTAAAGGTTAAGTAATTTGTCCATCATCACCCAGTTGAAAAGCAGTGAATAATCTTTTAAGATAGAAAGAGGTAGAAAAAAATTTTTACTGAAGGCTAGTTGATTTACAATATTGTATTAGTTTCTAGTGTACAGCATAGTGATTCAGTTATATATATATTCTTTCATATTCTTTTTCACTACAGGTTATTACAAGATATGGATAAATTTCATGTCTACATTACATATGTATTTCTTTCTCTCTGGTTGGACATAGAGATAGAGAAGCCATTTACACCAGTGAATTAGTAAACATTGGTGCCCCAGAAAACTTAGAAGCCCTGAACAGTGTATAAACAAGGACTCACAGAGAAGTTTCCATGGATGCAGAGGGCTTATCAAGTAGGCAGAGAATTTACACAGACCCATAAAATAACTTGAAAACCATTTTTAAAAGTTATTCTAGCATGTGGGGAAAAAAAATCACCGTGTAGATTAATTATGTATACAGATGACTAGGTAACTTGGAATCAGTGAGAAATCAAAGTAGACACAAGTCATCTTGGGATGGTCAGTTCTTTGGACACAGAACCAGAAACATGTCTGTAGACATATGCCGTCTGTTTCTCCATCTTGTTGTTGTTCTTTTTGTTTGTTCTCTCACAACAGAGTCTATCTGCCATTGGCTGCCCCTGGCCGCTACCCCAGGGCAGGTGGCCAGGCTGTAGAGAAAGGGGACTGGATGGCTGGTGAGCTGGGAAGACACCCCAAAGAGTACCTGTCGCAGGCTTTATATTCTAGTTATTTGTATCTGTATTTTCACCTTTTTAAAAGATTGTTAGCAAATTTAGGCAGGCCCTCCTACATGCATTCCTGTAAACCTTTCCTCATCTCAGCGTAGCTAATGGACCAGGAGGGCACTTGACCAAAGGGAGCCAATCATACTCTTCTGTCGGAATTTGCAGTTAGGACCAGAGACGCAGAGTGGCCTCTGCTGGACACTCCTGATTCCTGCCCCCACCGCCACGACTCAGTAACAGACCAGCAACTGAGCAGTTCCTCTCCTTTCTTCTTTTACCTCCTACCCAGTTTCCTCCTGATCAGTAGATTTACTGCAGATCATGCTTTTTTTACTTCTAAAATAGACCTCAGGTTTGGCTTGATATCTCCATCCCACAGCTGGCATCTGTGTGGTCTCTGGATGCCTGCAGCAAGTTCCAAATTAATGCCTCTTTTTCTAGAGTGATCTTAAGATGTGAATTGGAGTAAGACTCATCCCTGATTAAAATGCTCCAGGAGTTCACCCACTCCTAAACCAATCACTATGGTGGTGGTGATGGTGATGGTGGTGAGAACAGAAATGTGTTGATCCACCTATAGATGAATAAGAATATCGAGATGTTTGCTGGGCTTATAAGCAAGAAGCTTTGTCCTCCTTCTATTGAAGCAGATAAATGAGAACTGCTCCTTCCCTTGAGCCATACGCTGTGAAGGTGTGTGATTTGGGACTGCTGCAAACCATTTTGCTACCATGTAAGGGGAAAGCCTGCTGTATCAGTCGAGATTCCAACAGGAAACAGAAGGCACACTCAAATAGGGCAGTTTGAGGAACAATTAGTTTTGACAAAGGTAGGAGCAAGGTGCAGGGAAAACTCAGAACAGTGAATTATCTCGGGGCCCTTTACCACTCTAGACCCACAGAGGGTGGTTAATTGGAATTCAGGGACAGCGAGTGCTGGATGGAGGACATCCCTCCTCACTGGGGAAGGATGAAGGCAATCTGTGGTGTGCCCCAAGAAAGAGGTTTAATAAACACCCCAACCATCCTCTGAGTTCTTGCTGGTCCCAGATTGGCCAAACCCAGATGGAAGTCAGAGAGCAGAGGAGCCCATGAATGTAATCCAAGTCAGCCTCCAAGGGCACTGAGCAGCATGGAAAAGCTTCTGGAAGGCAAGTCCAGCACAGGGAAGATGCTTCTTGGATGTTTGGCAGATGAAGGCTGCACTTGCTTTTTCCAATATAATGGACTCTATCTTGTGGTCATACTTGAGAACTGCACCGCTGCCCAAGGGCAACAGGACTACCACCCACTCTTCCCTAGCCCTTCCCACACCTCTAGTTCTCTTAAAAAAGAAAAGTATACAAAGATAAAGTCTACCCACGGACTCTCAGGAAGACCTCTTAAGCCCAGTTTCTCTCAAACCACGTATATTCTTTATTCTCCAAGTCTCTACACCCTCTTTTATCCATATTATCAGTTCTCTTTACTTTCTTCAACGCCACAATAGGCCAGGTGCTTTAAAAACATTTTCACATTCAGTCCTTGCAGTAACCCGGAGACTGACAGATGTTACTCTGGCCATTTCAACAAGTGAGGAAATCTTGGCAAATAGGCTCAAAGCATTTCAGTAACTTGCCCAAGGCCACGCGGCTAATTAGTTGGGCGTGGTGTGGGTTCTAGGATTTGAATTAGGGCGGTTAGATCCACAACACAGGCTTTTTCCAGCAAACCTCACTACCGCTTGGTTGACAGGAGGTTCATCTATTCAGGCTTTGAAGCTGGAAATTAGAGGGGTGCTGTTGGTTACTCTCTCCCCTTTACCGACAGGCAGAGATGGTTCACTGATGTCACCTCCTAAATGACACTGGAATTTGTCCCTTCTTCTTTGCCCACTGCCGTGATCTTACTTTGGCCCATCCTCATGTCTCAGGTGAAATACTGCACTAGCCTCCTAATAGGTTTCCAGTCTCTCCCCCACCCACTCCACTGAAGAGAGGTCCCCGTTTTCAAATCCAAATCTGAAAAGGCACAGCCCACCCAGAGGACATCTAGGCCACGTGGATCCAGAGCCTTAAAAATGTCTACTTCCTTTCAATCAGTAATTCTCCTACTTCTGTGAATCTATCTTCAAAAAACAATCCCATATACAGAAAAAGCTAAGTGTAGAGAGATGGTCAGGGCAGTATTACTGAGGTTGTAAATTCATCCCCTACAACTTTTTTAAAAATCCAGTATGGAGTAAATTATCTAAGTCAAGTTAATTTCAACTCCAAACCAAGAGGAAAGTCTGTCTCAGGCCATCCTTGGGAAGTCCTTGGAAGACCCTGCACTGAAGGGTCATCCCTTGTCACTGCCAGGGCCCTCCTTGTCTCGGTTTACCCGCTTCCCTCAGTTCTAATAGCCACTAGCTTATCTGCCACCCTTGGGACATGTGGCTATTTGGTGAGGTTGGGGTCCCTCACTGTTCCCTCTGAGGTCCAGCCACACGCAGTGTTGTCAGGGAGCAGGACAAAGGTCCTGGCTGCAGAGGCGCCTCGGCCCTTCCCCCAGCCAGAGGACTTCTTTCAGGCTGGGGAAACCCAGCAGCG